CATGTCATTTTTAACATGTAATTGGTGATTTTAAATTGGAAAAAGTTTGAGAACCCTCTTGGATATATTTGAGGATTTGAGGGTCGAATTGTTATCGGAAATTAGTAATTTTGGTATGGTTACGCTCGTGGTTGAATGGGTTGTCAGCTTTTATGAGTTTCGTCGGATTTCGAGACGTGGGCCCCATGGGCAATTTTGAGTTAAATTTCGGATTTTGTTGAAAAATTTATATTTTCATATAGAATTAATTCCTATAATTAGTATTGACTGAATTAAATTAACTGTGACCAGATTCGGGTCGATTGGAGACCGATACACAGTCCCAAAAAATCCCAAAATTGCTTAAGACAAAAAATTTGGTGAAGGTAAACATTTGTTGTTTTCTATTCAAGTTTTTAGTATTGTATTTTATGTAAAAATCTATGTTTTAATTGGTTGTTAAAGTGTAGTTTAGTTGTCTTAAATTTTGTAGATTAATTGTAGTTGATATTATATACAGTTTATTTATTGTAGTTATTTTGTAGTCATGTAGATTAGCTGTTTTAATTTTGTGTATAAATTGTAGTTTCTTTATCTACAGTTTTATAAATGTACTTACAAATGTAGTTATTTTGTAGTCATTCTGTAGTTCTTACTGTTTTTTTTTTTTTTGAAGAATTATGTAGGTATTATGTAGATCAATGCTTATTTTTTATGCAATTCACTAATGTGAAATAATTTTTATTTTGTGCAGAATGGATATTATTTTTCCCCACATAAGGTTGATTACGGGGTGCTTAGATTCCACACTTTGTGTGATCCTAGCATTCCTAGCCAGATAAAACAATTATTGACTCCAAATGCTTTAACTCTTTTTAAAAACACTTGTTTTCTTATTGTGTTGCCTTTAAAAATCTATATTTTAATTGGTTGTTAAATTGTAGTTTAATAGTCTTAATTTTGTAGATTAATTGTAGTTGATATTATCTACAGTTTATATTTGTAGTTATTTTGTAGTCATGTAGATTAGCTGTGTTAATTTTGTGTATAAATTGTAGGTGCTATTATCTACAACTTATAAATGTAGTTATTTTGTAGTCATGTCGATTAGTTGTCTTGATTTTGTAGATTAATTGTAGTTGCTATTTTCTATATTTTTACAAATGTTGTTATTTTGTAATTCTTACTGTTTTTTTTTTTTTGTTTGAAGAATTATGTAGGTATTATGTAGATTAATGCTTATATTTTTATGCTAATGTGAAATAATTTTTGTTTTGTGTAGAATGGACATTATTTTGCACCACATAAGTGAGGTTACAGGCAGGCTAGCAAGGAGGAAGGGTGCTCCCGCTTTGAATGAGAAGACTATATTGTATAGAAAGAAGAAATAGTCTACTGTTTTCCTAATTTAGTTGCTGCAAATTTGTAGTTGAAGGATAAGGATCTACTTTTGTGGAAACAATCTATCAGCTTATTGTGTTTAATTTTGTAGTTGTATATGTTCATCATTTTTATGAAATACCTTCAAGTTCTAGGTAATAATCGTATATAACTATATTAGCTTATTGTGTTTAATTTTGTAGTTGTATATGTTCATCATTTTTATGAAATACCTTCAAGTTCTAGGTAATAATCGTATATAACTATATTAGCTTATTGTGTTTAATTTTGTAGTTGTATATGTTCATCATGTTTATGAAATACCTTCAAGTTCTAGGTAATAACCGTATATAACTGCCAAATGTAGTTAGAGTAAACAACAAACATACTAAATAGATACTACAATCATAGAAATATATTATCCACAAGTTATCTACATACCATCTACAATTTATTACCAAACTACAATAATTAACAATAATTAAACTACAATAGAGCTGCTATGATGAAGAACAGATATTTAGCTTCAATTTGTTGCTGATGAATATAGAACTTTGTTGATTTTAGATTAAACAACAAACATAACAAATAGATACTACAATCATTTAAATAAATTATCCACATGTTGTCTACTTACCATGTACAACTTATTACCAAACTACAATTTCACTACAAATAAACTATTTTTTACCTACAATCTAGAAACGCATTAGATTACAATTACATTTTTTAATGTGAACAGTTATGTAGAGAATAAATATACCAATTTAATTACAGATATTAATTAGAAATATTTAGATACCTGCCACTTTGCATAAAACCATATTAAAGACACATAATCAAATTGTAGTTTACTTCATAATGATTTTTCAAACTTAAACGATTACACAAAGAAGCTCATAGCTTTAACTCTCTAAGAGTTAGTTTGAACAAATCTATTAACTACATGATATTTATTTCTTATTTGGCGCATTGTTGCATGTTCTTCAATTTGTTGCTGATGAATATAGAACTTTGTTGAAGCTCTTCGTCCCTTTTGTTTATTCTAATTGTAGGCAATGTAGCTTAAGGAAATCCATACTTCCGTTTCAGAAATTGGTGTTGGGCAGTAGAATCATTCACTCCCAACATTTCTTTCTTGAATTGTAGCATACCCACTTTTACTTTTGCCTTTTTCACTTTAATATCCATAATTAAAGCATACCCCAATTATGTCATGTTTCCACTTTAACACACACAAAAGCTAGATCAATTCCTTCCTTTTTTGGGGTGATTGACGGGTGGGAGGGCTTTGGTACATAGATTGAAAAAAAAATATGGACTAGGGGTGTAATATAACTAATATGAACATTTTTTGTAATATAGTATCAAATATGGTATAGGAATGAAAATCATTCTTAGAATAGCCCAGTCATTTACGGTATGTTGGTGTCCAACAATCTACTGCTTTGGGCTGTTATAAAATGGTACAAAGAATATGACCGTTTTCAAAGAATACCACATATATTAAAGATCGTATTTGCTATATTTTCAAGAGATATTATAGTGGTCGAAACATTGTATAGTATTCAAATCTGATGGAGTAGTATTGATTTTAAGGTATATTTATATTCCTATACAAAATATTAGAGTACTATTAATTGATTAAAGGTTAAGAATGTCATCCACTTTTTATGGGCATTTTAGTAATTCATGTTTGACGTTAGGAGCTTCCTATTTTTAGTATAATATGATATGATTTATCGTGGTTGTGATACTTTAGAAAGCTTACATATGTAACCTCTATTTGCTTTTACTTCAGATTTTTCAATTTGAATTAAGGATTTAAAAGCCGATACGATGATTATTATCGATTTTGCTTTAGAATACATTTGTACTACGTACAAGTTGAAGTATTTGCTTATTTGTTGACTTGTTGAATAAATGGTTACTTCTAGCTAATACATATATTTTAATCTTATATACATATATATTACACATGAACTAAATTATGGCACCTGATAAGAAATGGATGGAACTTGTGACTTGGTAATGCTTACAAGTTTGGGGTAGACAACTTTTTGGATTTTGCTTTTATAAGATTAAGTGAACCGCGTGTAATATGTTGTCCATGTATCAAATGTTGTAATACATCTTCGGGAACACGTGAGATGGTTAAGTCATATTTAATAGTATATGGAATAATTCAAAATTATACTTTTTAGTATCACCAAGGGGAAAAGTTAGGTGAGCCACAATCAAATTCAGAAGATGTAGAAGATGATGACATTGAAGAAGCTGATGGTGAGGATGAAATATATGGGATCCTAAGAGATTTATACCCTAATTTTGTTGCAGACAATACGAACAATGATGGTGATGATTTTCTTGAGGAACCAAATGTTGAAGCAAAAAAATTCTATAGGCTTTTAAAGGATATTGATCAACCATTGTACCAAAATTCAAAAGTTTCTATACTTTCTACTATGGTTAAATTGCTTCATATCAAAAGTATTGGGCGTTGGAGTCATGAGTCATTTACAATGTTGTTGAGGATATTGAAGGAAGATCTATTGCCTGACGAATCAAGCTTGCCAGATTCATATTATGAGGCAAAGAAAATAATTCGGATCTTGGACTTTCTTACAGGAAGATTGATGCGTGCAAGAATAATTGCATGTTATATTGGAAGGATGACAAGTTTCTTGAATCTTGCAAAGTTTGTGGAGCATCTAGATGGAAAGAGGATAAGCATAATGAAGAAATTAAATTTAAGAGTGGGAAAAAGATAGCGCACAAGATTTTACGTTATTTTCCGTTAAAGTCAAGACTCCAAAGATTGTTTATGTCCTCAAAGATATCATCTTTAATGACATGGCATCATGACAAAAGAGTTGATGATGGAATAATGAGGCATCCGGCTAACTCAATGGCATGGAAAAAATTTGTTGACTTGCTTTTAAATTGAATTATGTCTCCGAGGCCCTGAAACCTCATTTAGAGTTGTTTCTGTGACGACCCGGTCAGTCGTCTCATGAGTTACCGCTCCGCTTTTTCCCCATTTCTGCTTCTTTATGCTTCGTTATCCGTGTCTTATGTGATCGAGTTGGTTAGATTGTATTCGGAGTGAATTTGGTAAGGAAATGAGACACTTAGTCTCTTTAAGGAAGGTTTAGTTTGGAAAGGTCAACCGGATGTTGACTTATGTGTTAAAGGGCTCGAATGTGTATTCGGAGTGATTTGTATAACATTGGTTACCATCTTTTCATTCACTTTTCATATTGTGTCACATAAATCTCTCCATAATAATTCAATCAATGGTAACGGTCTCTAAGTTGATTGTCAATAAGTTGTTTTTGGACCAAAATTAACTTTTTGTCGATTTTAACCCTTGATGTTATCACTTGTATGTCGCGTAAAGTCGAAAACAATACTATATCTGCTCAATTCTAAGCAAGTGAAATTAGTAACAATTTTGCAGCTACAGGAGCAGGAACTATTAGTAACTAAAAAGTAATATTATGGGATCATTAAAGCACCTTGCTTATAGTTTAAGACTAGCAGTCACATCCTAAAGCAAATAACCAAAAGATAATATTCAGCTAAACTTAACATCACTTGTTGTAATCATCAAGAAAACAAAATAATACTTGCACGGCTAGCTTAGAGATGTTGACGAGTAACAGTCTTAGTGAATTCAATAAAACAAGGATTTTAGATAATATACTGTCTTAACTATAATCCATTTACAAATTCAGTTGCACTCAGTTCCGTCAAAGTTTGACGAGTACTCTCTTTAGTTTGTACACACATGAACGGTCAGCCATCTGTCACCCAAAAAAACACACATGTTATACAAATAGTGCTGAAAAGCTTTTAATTAACAAATACTTGATGTAAGACGGCAGACATACGTAAAATGAAACTACTTACTTTCATTATTTCATCAAATAGGTTCCTGTTGTTTCCATCCACTTCTCTCTTGCCATTGTAAAACAGATTAACCAAAACATCGTTTATCCTAGGTGCGAGATGCTTGCCCTCTTTCATAGGCAATCGAGCACTGTGGAGTTCATTAAAGAGCATAATTTCATCCACCCGGTTAAGTATCTCAAATCTAAAGCCTATAGGATCCTGTAAACGCAAAAAACACAAAGCTCAATACATAGAAACAATATGCTCTTACGCTATAACTATCACAACCACCAACGGATTTTAAGAAGTCGTAGAGGAGAGATCAATGCTCTACTCCTAAACAAGCCATAGGAGTTCCATTAAATACCTTGTCCATGTTTCCATCCCGATTATTGGACCCATTTGGATCTCCACCAACAAGCTTGGCAATTAGGCGTTTATTTCCTAGATCCGAGGCAAAAATGATAATAGTCCTCCGAAAATCTAAAACAGTCCCATCATTGTCTGACAACAGACCATCATCCAGAATGGAGATAATATCAGTAAAAGCAGATTGATGTGCCAATTGTAGGTTAAAAACCACTATGACACTGAAGGGTCTCATCAAAATAGCGTTCTTCAGCAAGAGACCAGGTTCATTCCTACATGTGCATCTGAATCAAATTATCAGATTTAACAGCCTAAGAAGCTAAATCAAATAATACACATGATCACAGAAATATATCCTACCTGAGAAAAGAGTTTGGGCGAGTGCAGGTAGACAAATCCACTTCAACCAACATTGTTGTCCCATCATCTGCAACTAAGTACTTTGAAAGGTCATCCACAAGCTGTCTTCGGCCCATACTTGTTAGTCCTATGAAAAGGAAAGATGTAACTTGTTGACAATGCTTGTCCTTGAGATGATCGTGATTGGTATCAATGCACTTGAACAGAGCCTTTGCGACCGTCTGGACCGGTGCAACTTGATCAAGCAATTTACTTCGCATTTTGGAAAACATAGCCCCAGGCATGTACCTAGCCCTCTTGACCCTCTCATGCACAACATCCCCCACACCATGTGAATCCATAAAGTACTCAAGTGGCACCTGAAACAATTTTCAACTATGACAAATAAAATATAAAGAAAATGTGAAAACCCAATCTTGCTTTGCAAACAATGCCAACAACGCATACCTGCTCTTTCCAATCTTTGGGTCCGCCCAACAAATGATCTACCATAGCAAGCAATTCCAGTAAACTACTCATAATGCAAGAAAGTCTGGCATCATGCGTTGAGCCCAACAACTTCACAAGATCAAAGTAACCTATGCTTAGTTTGTATATATGCTTAGCTTGTTCTTTTTCAAACTGGTAGAGGATCCTCGAGCTTCCCAAGGGTGCTTTGAGCGTATTAAAATCATGGGCAACTGTCATATTACTTAATTTTTTAGTTCTGAAGGACAACTCATTGGTACCAACCAACTCATCAATGTATACTACAGAGTCTCTATCCACATTGCTCAACTTGGAGACTAACTCTTCCACAAAATGCCTAAGTACATGACCACCTTCCTGGCAAAGAAAGAAAAAAACATAACGAGTGCAATATGAGATGAATCAATGGAGATGGTGAACGGCAGAAGACACGCTTCTAAGCAACATTCTAACAAACAACGAAAAATCAGTTTCCTCTCCTAGGCAAATGTTTTAGGCTAAACATAAAAATAGAAACTTAATCAATTAGTTCAAAACTGAAAACTGACACATCAAGACACTGGATGCAATAATTAACAATATCACATACAAACATATGTGCTTTTACAATTTAAGTCATTTGTAGCCATTTATCGGACTTGCAGTTACAGAATGGTAAAACGGTATGAAATAATCGGACAGAAACACAGTACACCCAGCTGTCTACCCACCAGGTATGCTGTTATCCAGTGACAAAGTTTGGCGGACCTCTAAAACAAAATAAAGTTGAGAAAAGTCCACAAGGCCGAGAAAAATCCTTCTTACCTAAGTTTAGGCATCTGTACGTTCCGCGATTAACCTCACTACCCATTAATTTCAAGCAAATAATGAGCATAGATACCTCTTAACATCACGTAAACATTCCTCCAAACATATCAAAACATAGATGCAAATTGGCTGCAAATACAATCGTACCCTAGTTACTGTAAGCACGTGATTTTTGTCCTATATGAGAATTACTCCCAAAAAATTCAAAAATAAAATAATTTTTCTTTCTTCATTTTCATTTTTTATTTTTACAAAACAAAAACAAAACAAAAAAAGAAGAAGAAGAAAACCCTAGACTTAAGCCATCCCCCCCCCTCATCCTATCTTCATCTTCTCCAACCTCCAAGCCCCACCTCACATGGCTGCCCTTCCTCACGCCTCCACCACCTCAATACACACACACACGACATTCTCCATCGTCCCATCGACCCCAACACGAGCAGCCATGG